TATTTGCTATAATTTTTTGTTTATAGTTGTATTAGCATATAGAAATAACTAAGAAGATACAAGTATCATATGATTACTTTGTGTAGATGTTAATAGATCTTCTAAATTGAATCTTTGAAGATATAGTATTATAGATTCATAATACTATATATAATCAATTCTAGTTTGTGATTAGTTATTATGCTATGTGTAGAATGTATTGGATGTATGGTTAGTAAGATTATTTAAGTTGTTGCTTGTAAGAAAGTTAATGAGTTTGAATTTGGAACTTGTTGAATTTGTTATAGAGATATCTACATTAAAGTTACCAAGAACTATTAAATAGAATTGTTAGCTAAGTACTTGTTGTATCTATTAGTTGACTTTGGTTTGTGTTAAATTTTTATGTGATATATCAGTAGAAGATAGATATACTGAAATTATTCTAAATTTGAAATCATATTTGAAGAAGAGATTAATAGAAATTGCACCTTCTATATGTTTAAAAATTTTGTAAATATGTGGTATCAAATTGTTTAAGATCATAATTCTAGTTTCTTCTACTGAAAAAATAGAATTTGATAAATAGTATATAAAATATTTGGTATTGAAATATTTTGATTTAGAGTTGGTGAGTTTGGTTTCTGTTAGACTAATAATATTATATTTGTAAGAGAGACAGAAATCTTCCTATAATTGTTTTTTAAGAGAGTTGTTATATCCTCTAATATTATGAGTTACAATATTGAAAGAAAGTGAGTTGTTAGTATTATTAGTATTAGTATTAGTAGTTGTTTGTAGATTAGTATTATTTAAAGAGTTTGTTGTTATATTAGAAATATTTAAGTTATTATTAAAATTAGAAATTATTAGATTTGTAAAGGTTCTGAGAGGAGTGTTGTAATATTAGAAAAGAGTAAAAAGATTAAGTAGTATATAATTTAAAAGAATATTATCATTATATAGAAGGTATATATGTGCTTCATTGAGTTGTTTGTTGATAGAAAATCTTGTTGGTTTTGTGAATTTTTTCTCTTTTAAATATTTTATGAATGATTTAATAGTTTGGTTAGATTTTAGTAGATCTATATTATAAAATTTTAGAAATGTATTGTAGCAAGTTAGTGCTTCAAAAGGTTCTAAGAATATTAGAATTGGAAGTACTAGAAAGTCTTCTATATATGTGCTTGCTGTATGCTTAGTTTTTATAGCTATGCTAAACTTAAAAGTCTGCTCTGTATGTTGAGTCTAACTGTTATTTATTTGAGTTGTCATGTAAATAGGCTTTATTACCTATCTACTTATATCATTATCCTCAAGAATTGGCTTACTATAAGTAAGAAGAAGATCTAATCTTAAGGTAGTAGTTGCATCTATATATATAGAAGACCTTATTGAAAAAAAAGGATAAGAAGAGGGAATTTTTTAAGGCAATTAGTTCCTAAAAGTTAATTTTGAATTTTTCCTTTATCAAATTGTTAGCTAATAGATATGCCTTATGTTTGGTTTTGGATAATATCAAAGTAAGTGATAATTCTTGCAAGCATAAAGATATCAACAACTTTTGTAAGTAGCTTGTCAATAAGTTGTTGCTTTGTAAGGTCTTCAAGTTTAGAGTTTTGAAGTGCAACTTCATAGTATAGTTCAAGAAATTTATAAAAATAATAACTTCTGCATCCAGTATTTGTTACTACTTTGTTTATTTTACATGCATCTTCTTTAACTTGATTAGTAAGTTGATCAAGTAGTTAAGTAGAATAGGTTTTTTGAAAGTAGTTTTATACTCTTTATTTTTTTCAAAAGGAGAGTTATCAAAGGTTATCTGTTTTGAAATTTCATTATTTTTTCTAGAATAGAGTTTATAAGAATATTCTAATACTTATTTAAAAATATTAGAGAAGTCATATTGTTTTTTAGTAAGAAGTATACCTTCTTCATCTTTGTATATTAGAATATGAAAGTCAGCATATTTAGTAATTTCATCCTTTCTTTCCTGAAATATTTGTGGTTCTAATATATCATATTTTTGAGGTAAAAGTTTTGTTAGTTGAAAAATGAAATATTGTCAAAATTGATATTTTAAAGCATTATAAACTTTTGTTTTGTTTAAAAGCTCATCAAACTGACTATTATAAGTTGTAAAGAATTCTTCAAACTATTATTAAAATATTCTTATGAGTTTTTAAGAGAAGGAATATTGAATTTTTCAAGGAAAAATGTTTTGGGCAAGTTGAAAAGAAGGTAGATATTAAATTTTTTATCATATTTGATTTTGAGATAAGATTCTTTTTTATCTATACTAATAGTTGATGAAAAAACTACAAATCTTTTAGGTCTGAGTTAGAAGTCCTCAGCAAATTTAATATGATCAATTGTTTGATATTCATAGTGGTCATCAAGGTATAGGTGAATTCTTGCTATATTGAGACAAAGATGAATACAGTTTTTGTTTATATGTAGTAGAATAGTTAATGAAGATGCAAATATCTCAGCATAATTTATTTTAGTAAAGAGAATTGTTGTAAATTTGTGAATTAGTCTTTTGAGTATTGATTCTAGTATTTAAAAGGAATTGTAGCTTCTTTGCTAATAGTTAGATTTAAAGTATATATTAAGTCAGTTAAAAACTTAAAGCATTGATTAGCTATAGTTCGAATTGTATTATATAAGCTAGTTTTAAGAGCTTTTGAGTTTGTTGTTGCTGGTTTAATTTCTTTATCTGAAGTAAAATTATATAAGTGATTTTTAAAAAATTCAAAAACTTGAAATGATAAAAGAGTTTCTAGTTTTTTAATTTTATTATTTTCTTAGTAATAGGAAAGTATTTAAGCCAGTCAAAGAGTACTTTAGGTTGTGTTATATGAGTTTCAAATTTTTTTGTTAAGTTAGTAGTTGATGTAGTATTTAGCTTTTTATTTTTTTCTTTAAGAATAGAAGTAGAATTATCTAAGTATTATAAGGAGTTATCAATATCTATATTTAAAGAAGAGTTTGTATTAAGAGTTCCAGTAGTTTGATTAATTTGCTAAGTAGTTAATGATAGTAAAATAGCTAGTCTATTAGTATAAGTTGGTAAAAGAGTTTTAGGAAATAAATTTTGTTGTTCAGTTTTAGTTGTTAGAGTTATAGCATTATTAATTTCTATATTTGAAGAAATATCATTTGTAGAAATAGATATTGTTAAAGTAGGAGGTATAATTTCAAGTTGAGTAGTAAATAAAATTATTATTAAAATAATAGAAGTAATGAGAGATTTTGTTTAGTTTTGTTAGAATACTGCTAAGAGATTTTTCCTAGTAGAAGCATAATTAATTGAAGATATTGTATAAACACTTGTTGATGTAGAAGTCTCAGCAACTTCAGGTGTTAAACAAGCATAATGATAAGTACTGTTGTTTTGTAATATTATATCATTACTAAGTTTGTGTTAGTTATTTGTAACTTTGCAAGAGATTAGTTGTTAGTATTTTTGGCAAGCATGTTGATGAGTAACTAAAGTAGATGAAGGAAAAATATTATCAGTTGATATAGCAATGCTTTGTAGTATTTTTTGAATATTTTTATTTTTGTATTAGCAACAAAAAGAATAAAGTCAATATAAACTAGCTTGAAAGGTTTGTTGCTAGTAGTAATAAATTTGATATAGTATTTATTACAAAGACAAAAGGCAGTAGTTAGAGAAGCTTTAATAAAGTGAGTAACCTTGTTATCACTTCTAAGAATTTTAGTAATACAAGCTAATAGTATACTTTTTGCAAGAATTAGGTGTTGTAAAAGTTTAGTTATAATAAGACATTATTATATAGTTTTTGCTAATAAATATTTAATTTTTATTAAAGAAATTTTGCCAGATTTAAATAAATTTTAAATATACATAATTTTAAGAATAAAAATACATTAAAAATAAAAGCTTAGTTCACTCATTAGACTTACTAATCTATTCAGAAGATTTTGGTATAAAATAATTTATAAATAAAGATAAAAATAGAAAATAGATATAAATTATTACAAATCAAAGTCAATCATTAATACACATGTTAATCATATTATTGATAAGCAAAATTGCACTATAGGACAAAGTAAATAAGTCATAATAATGCTTATCTATCTATATTATATTTGCTAAATTAATTCTTATTATATATAAAGCTGATAAGCTTAATATAGCTAAATTAATTATAGTAATTAGTATGTTATTAAAAAAAAACTTAGAAAAATAATGAAAAAGAAAAATTATGGAGAAATTATAGTATTGTTACAGATATAGAGTAGTTGAACTTTCTTCGTTAAAAGCAATACTAAAACTACTAGATATTTGGTATAGAAAAAGTCCAAGTTGATAGTATCTAGTTCAGTTGAGGTTAAAGTAGGTATTTTGTGAATATAGGTTTATTATAAGAGGAGAATGTTCTAATAGTACTAAATTTAATTATGTTTTGCAAAAGAAACAAATAGAAATAAATTAAAAATGATCAGTAATTTGAGATTTTTAAGAAAACTAATAAATTTTCTAGATAGCCAATAAAATTTCCTGAACTTGTGAGCAGAATCCTGTGATTTGAATTCATTTAGAGTTAAAATAAAAAGTGAAAAATCTAGAGCAAGTTAGTAAATTTTCTGAAATTGCTACAGATAGATTCTAAGTAATCAATGAGAAATTAAAATAGCTCAGCAAGTTTTGCTCTATTTTTGATAAAATTTATATCAAAATGAAGCCCTGACTTAGGAGAATCTAACTCTTTAAATGAACAAGAGTTATTATATTAGTAATATTTTGAAATATTTAAGAAAATAGAAGTAAACTAGAAATAAAAATATCTCTATTAAATTTGGTCTATTTTACTCTAAGGTATTTGACTATTAGTGATTATCAAAGAAAAAAAAACAAAAATATAAAAAAAAAGAAAAATATTTTAAACTTAAAATAGGCCTATAAAAAGGTAATAGAAGACACATTTATGCATCTCAACATCAAACTTGAGCAAAGAATTAATATCTATAAATATTAAAAAACGTTAGATATGAAAATTCCCATCTCAGGAAGCTTTGGTATCGATCCTATGCAAGAAACTAAATCCAAACCAACACAAAATGCAATAATCTGTAAAAATCAGTATAACGCATTAGCACAAAGGGTAAAATGATTTCATTAAGGAAAAAAATAATTCGACAAAATTATAAACAGGATCTTAATTTATTAATATATTTAAATATATATATTGAATGCGCATAGACTAAGAAATATCCAAAATAACAAATGGATAGGTATTAAACAAATTGAGGATAAAAAATAATAAGCTAGATAAAATCTAAATAATCACGTTATCAGCTTAACGAACTAAAATATCAGTTAACAATTTAAAATAATATTTCTAACAAATTAACTATGATTTAACACCTATATAGATATAGCAATATAAATATTTCAAAAATTATATTTAATGCATGAATTAAAATATATAGAATTTCTCCCTATTTTTCAATAAAAAATCTTAATATTAAACTATTTCAATTTTATATAAATTCGAAATTCAAAGAAATATTAATTTTTGATATTCTTTAATTAATAAAACATTTATACTAATATTTACCTTTCCTGTAAAAAATAAATAAAAAAAATTATTATCTATTAATATATAGAAAATAATTTGCAATTAATAATTAAATAATACCAAATTTTAAACCTATTTAAATTTTAAAATTTTAGTAGTTTTTAGAGTTAAAACTTGAAATTAACATTTTCGCACTAGCAATAATATGTTTATACTAACAAAATTCGCCGATTCTAAATTTATAAATTGTTTATGAATTGTTAATTTAAACTAGCAAAATCTGTTATGCAATAAATTAATACTCACTCTTCTTAGGATTTTAGCTTTATATACAAATGTGATTAATTCTTTGTGAAGTTATTATTTAACAAATAGACAATTTTAAACTTACGCTCTGGTAATTGGTACATATATTATTAATTTGGTGAATTTATTAGTAACTAATGCACGCAATTTAACTTACCCTGGATGAAATTATAAATGATTTTTTATAAATGATTTCAATTATTAGAAATAGATTTTGATTAAATATTACAAAAATTGTCGTATCTATACTCACAAACTGGCATTAGAATTTACGTAATTAATTAGAGCATTATATAGCAATTCTTTCAAACTCTGATAAAGATAATAATAAATTTTATACATACTCACTAACGGTATTATAATATTTGAAGAAATAGTTTAATTAATCACATAATTCTTGGGTTGAAATCAATTATACTCACGTGCTATTTTTAATAAATTATTTGACATTTAAAAACTAATGTTAATGTCAAATTCTCATTTTATAAAATGAATACCATACTCACTAGCTGTTAGATTATATTATTATTTAAAACTATGTCATTAAGTTATCTGATTATTTTATATTCAAATATACTTACACACTAATAATATAAGATATTTTAGTGAAATTATTACTTAAAAAATATATATACTCAATACTTACGCTCTATCAGATATTAATAGCAACAATTTAAAGAATTATATTAGTTTACTGTAATATTTGATTTGACAAAAGAATATAATTGAACTTATACTAACTGACTAGTAGTTGCAATATTATACGGTAATATTTTATTATAAATTCGTCAAAAATCAATTTAAAATGTTATCAAGCTTTACTTACAAACTTAATAAAATTTTTAGAATTAATTTTAATTCTAATTTAACAAATGAATATAAGAATAAAAAATTATACTTACATTCTAATAGGATGCAATTTTATAGATATTTAAGTAAATATATAATATTTAACAAGTAATTATAGGTAGCTAATATTAACTCACTCTCTAATATTATATTATTAAAATAATTACTAAAACATTATTCAAATAATTCATTATCTTTACAATAAATTCTATACTCACTTTCTATTTAATGTAATGATTTGAAGTTTTATTAGTACTAATTATAAATACTAATAAGACTCAATATACCATATTATTGATAAATTAGTTTAACACTCACTTGCTGATAGTTAACCATTAAAGTATTATTTAGTAATAATTCATTATTAATTTTAAATTAACAGATGATTATATCTTTGAATTTACTTTCTAAAATTTATGTAAAAATTTCAGTTTTCATTAAAAATTTCAGATTAAGCAAAGGATCTGAAATATTCAAACTTACAAACTGTTGTAAAGTTTTAAAGTTAATTTTAGATTCTATTTATTTATTAACTTTCATAAACTAGGTAATACTCACACTCTGGTAATTGGCAATTTAATATTTAGCATTAATTCATTGCGAAATTAAAAATATGCAAATGAATTTATAATTACTCGCTGATGAAATTGGTTAAATATTATTTAGTATTATTTAGGATGAAATTAGAAATGATAATGAATTTATTTAAACTTATACTTACTCACTATTGATGAATTCGGACAAAAACAAATAAATATTCAATTAATATACTTCTTGTTAAACAAGCGAATAATAAGAATAAAACTTACGGCCTAGAAATGATAAAATTGATAAATATTTTTTAATATTAACGCACGGTAATACAGTTGCCTCACTCTAAACCGAACATGAATTTTTAATAAATTCTGCATGAAAAACTTTAAAATTTAACAATATAAATAAAGGTCGGTTTATGAATTTTCTAAACTGAACCTTGACATATTTTCTTAAAAAAGTTCGGTATAAAGTAAGTTAATTATAAATTTAATAGAAGTTTGTACATACATACTAGCAGTATTTTATAATTTATAATTATTTAGTAATAATTCATTGTAACCCATTAACTAATAGATAACTTGATCTTTATTACTCACTCGCTGGTTATTAATATAGTTTGTTTATAAAAATTTGTTTTATTATTTATAAAAAATAATTCGAAATATAATTCGAACTTACTCACTAATAGTTAAGTAATTTATTTTAGAATAGTACATTGTTAATAGGGTTGAAGAGATAATATATAGAATTTAATACTCACTCGCTAATAGTTTATGCATTATAGATATAACTCTGTAAGCTTTTTATCCATGTGTAATTGAAATAGAACTCTATACTTACGCTCTGGTATTCGTGGAATTATTTAATTATTTACAGCATTACTTAACATTACTACATAAATAAACTTCATACTTACTCACTGAAATTTATAATTTTTTGGTAATTAATGATTTGAATTTTAAAAATAAATATAATAAAAGAATTTATACTCACTTGCTAGTAGTAAACATAATATGTAATTATCTGTGTATTATTAATAAATAATTCATTTGGATATACGCATTCAAACTTACACCCTATAATAAATATTTATTAGAATAATATATAAAAATTTGATAAACTAATCTGATAATTAACTTCTATATTCACCATCTGTTATTACATATAATGGAAGTTTTAGTAATAATTTATATAAAATTTAAATTAATAGTAATTAAAATTTGTACTCACAAACTTGTAATTACAAAAATTGTTAGAAACATTGTTAAATAATAATCCGTTATGAAATATTTGATCGTAATAAATGCTTACTTGCTGTAGTTGATATTAGTTAGTAATTAACTAAGGCATCGTTTAATTAATAATTAATAATAATATATTTACACTCACTTGCTAGTAGTTAATTGTAATATATGCAATTGTTTAAGCATTTTTATAAAATTAAAATTTAAATAAAGCTGAATTTATGCTCACACACTAGTAATTCGATGTAATTAGATTAGTAGCAATTCAAATGTAATATTCTAAGTTAATACAAATTATATTATACTAACATCCTAATATTTGACGTTTATTTGATTATTTGAAGCTTAATTATTGCAATTTATAGCGACATTAAATGAATATATTAATTGATTTTATACATACTTACTAGTAATTTATGATTTAAGAATATAAAAAAAATGAAAAATATTAATTATTTATTCATTATTTAATAAATATGTTTTAGAGCTTTGTACCTACATTCTGCCAGTTTGATATATATTAATTAAATGTTCAAAGTATATTAGAAATAATTCATTATCAAATTTTGATTTAAATGAAAATATGTACAAACTTACTTCCTGGTAGTGGATATAATTAAAATATTAATAGATATTTAGTTTGAAATTTGACAATCGCGTAATCACACTCACTTGCTAATAGAAGATAATGATTTATCAATAGTTGATAGTGAATTACTTCGAAATGCAATCCAACCTTCAAATATATTGCATATTTTTTTTACACTCAATAAATGCACATTCTCTCTAAGTGTACAGTTTTTTTACTATGGTCGCGAGAGAGTGCATTTAGAGAGGTCTGACTAAATTTTACTGCTCACCTCCTAATAGTCGAAAATTAGAAATTAAATTCAAATTTAAACATAAATAAATAAAGCATTATTAGACTTACAAACTGGTAGTTAATGTTGTATTAATAATACGTATTTTTATTAAAGATCTATTCATTTTAGCGTGAGAAAATATATGATTCATATACTCACTCACTAATAATAATTCAATATATTAGTCGATTAAATTTTTATTGCATAGTTTATATGTTTTCAAACTTACGCCCTGGAAGTTGTTAAAAGTAATTTTTTCGTTATTATAATAAGTGATGCCGTTATTAAATGCAATCTACATTTATACTCACAATCTTATGGTAAATATTTTATGTAAATTTTATTGTTTCACAAATAAAAATACAATATTAAACTTTGCACTTACGAACTAGTTTATTATTGTTTGGAATATTATTTAGCACAACTCGTACAACTCGTAATGATTAATAGATGAATATTGTTTCCAAATTACCCGCTAATAAATGAAATATTTTATATAATCATTTTAGTATATTAAATTTAATAAACGACTAAAATATGTATTTATTAGAATTTATACTCACGATCTGATATTTAAGCATTTGTATAAATATCCAAAATATTATTAATTCATGAATAAACTGATTTGACGATTCGATCCCGATACTCACATATTACTAATTAATTATTTAAAAGTTAAAGATAATTACTAAGCTCGAATTTAGCAATTAGTAATGTAATTTTATATTTACCAACTAGTAATGTTTCAATTATTTGGTTTAAATAATATTTAAGATTAATTTATCTTAATAATGAATGTACTATCAAGCTTCATATTTACCTTCTGTTAAGATAAAATATTGTTGATTAATCTATTATAAAATTCTTATTCAGTAAAATACATTATATATAATAATATAATTT